AAACGTGCTTAAGGCCGGCGTGCTTAAAGCCGGCACGGACGGTATATAGATCTATATATATACATATATGTATTTTATTATGTATACTAAGAGACTGAGCAGAGGCTTACAATGCAAATTCTGTTCTCTACAAGTAGCAAAATCTTAAGTTTACGCAAAACAGATTTTAGAAAAAAAAGTCGGATCTAATCATTCTAATAAAAGTAAAAGTGATTGTTATGGTGAGATTTGTTATTATTAATTCTGGAAATACAGATAGTTGCTGAATCTAAAATTAACTAGAACTGTGCAATTCGTTTTATTTCAATTCCAAAGCCCAAAGGCATAGCAATAAGTTAGATCTAGATCTAGCAGTTGTAGGCTCCCTGGCTGCTTCTAGCATAGGCCTGCTACTACTGATTCTTAACAGGGAATCTAGATCTTGCTATCGCCTGCACTATTAAAGTCAAATATATGGTAAAATAAAAACAAAACTGAATTGTTTTGTCAGTCAGTACATCCCAATTGCCATAGTCGCACGTATTAATAGTTGAATAATTATACCGAAGCAACACGTTATCACAGTGTGCAGGGGAGAGCGAGGTGCCGGGGTCGCTGACCGGTCGATTCGGTGGTTCGGCTTTTGTAGATCTATGTTGTTTTTTTTTACGGAAAGCCCTATTACTAGATCTATTAGTGTTGTGAAAACTTCAACCTCTACAGCTCAGGCGTCAAAAGATGTTGGAAAATAATAATACGTCCTGAAGTTTCACAATTTATTTTTATACAGAATAACACAGTACACAGCCAGTAGTTTTTATTTCATCGAGTTATAAGAATGGCCTTGTGTAACTTGTTTTGAGAAGCAAATGTTAATAGTTCCAGTTCTACTCAATCGAGTTTCACGCAAATCCAACCATTTTGATGATCTTTCCTTTTCTTTTAAAAAGATGTAGATCTAGGCCTGTCGGATGTGGCAGTGCGATTGACACTGAGTTGTTTAGACCCATCAAAACACGAGGCTTCGTGGCCGATCACAAAAGTCTACGGGGCTTATCGAGGCCGATTCGCCCTGCTGCGTGCACGTTCACTAAACTGCCTACTAGATAGAATCTACTACCACAGATTCTCTACACAATCTTTGCTACTACTACTACTACATGTAGTAGGCCTAGTAGTAGTAGTAGTAGTAGTAGTAGTAGTAGTAGTAGTAGTAGGCCTAGTAGTAGTAGTAGGCCTAGTAGTAGTAGTAGTAGTAGTAGTAGTAGTAGTAGTAGTAGTAGTAGTAGTACTACTACTACTAGGCCTACTACATGTAGTACTACGAGACAGTAGGAGAGAGTGCCAGTCAAGCAAAGAAAGTGTAACTTTGACTCAGCCACGTAGTTTACTAGGTCTGGGCGGGACTTGGACTTGAGACTTGAAATTCTCGTGCCCATCAAGTAGTGTTTGAGAGTTTGTTATTTGTTAGTTTGTTCCAAAGGCTCTCCCACAGACTGGAGGTGTACACAGGTAGGTAGTGTTGTTAGCCTACGCCAGAGTCACTAGGGGAGTGTTTGCAGCATGTGCAAAAGTCACTACGGTAGTCTTTACTGCACGGTAGCGTGTTACACACATGTTCTGAGTGTGTTGGCGTGTTACACACATGTTCTGAGTGTGTTGGCGTGTTACACACATGTTCTGAGTGTGTTAGCGTGTTACACACATGTTCTGAGTGTGTTGGCGTGTTACACACATGTTCTGAGTGTGTTAGCGTGTTACACACATGTTCTGAGTGTGTTAGCGTGTTACACACATGTTCTGAGTGTGTTACCGTGTTACACACATGTTCTGAGTCAGAGTGTGTAACACACATGTTCTGAGCTGAGCGTGTTACACACATGTTCTGAGTGTGTTAGCGTGTTACACACATTTTCTGAGTGTGTTGGCGTGTTACACACATGTTCTGAGCTGAGCGTGTTACACACATGTTCTGAGCGTGTTACAGTACACATGTTCTGAGTCAGAGTGTGTAACACACATGTTCTGAGCTGAGCGTGTTACACACATGTTTTGAGTGTGTTAGCGTGTTACACACATGTTCTGAGTGCGTGACACACCGGTCACTTTTTGTTGGCTGGACATTAGACAAGAGTGTGATTGCTGACAAAATGTTTGGCCTAGTTTCAAGTTAATAAACGTGACGTAACGTTAGACGTAAACATGACGTAACGTTCAGACGTAAACATGACGTAACGTTCAGACGTAAACATGACGTAACGTTCAGACGTAAACATAACGTAACGTTCAGACGTAAACATGACGTAACGTCCAGACGTAAACATGACGTAACGTTCAGGCGTAAACATGACGTAACGTTCAGTAAACGTGACGTAACGTTCAGTAAACGTGACGTAACGTTCAGACGTAAACGTGACAAAAGCACCCGATATGACGGCGCTGAGAAATAACAGGGGGCTCACTGGTGTGTGCTCGCACTACTCACACTCGGTCCTTCATCTTCGTTTATCACGCCGGCTCGCAACTTTGACATAAATTGCCTCTCGTCACGATGTGCCAGGCCCGCGTGTGTGGTTGGTAGGTGCTTGGAGTGGTTTACTCCTTTTCTATCAAAAGCTATCGTCCTTCTCTATCCTCCTTTTTTCTGTTCGTTACTCTCTGGTAACACCTCTAATCTCCGGCACTTACACGACCTTATTGTGTAGCAAGTGCTGTAAAACTCTTACTTTACTTTTTTTTTTTTAGGGTCTGCAGCTGCAAACCTTCCCGGCGAAGTGAGCTTTTGCCCAGAGAGACACTAGGTCACTAGGCCTATTGCGCAATTTCCACATGTGGTGAGCCGGCATTGTATAGCAGCGGGCGTACACAAACCTTGGACTTTTCTTCCGGTAACAAGAACAGGCAGTCAGGGACGGCCTTTCAGGATCGGTGTTACATCACCAAACTTGTTCTTTTGACAGAGCAAGTGGCATACAATGTACAGTACTCGCTCGGTGCCTGTCATTATCTACACAGCAACCTCGTGCTGCTAGAACCAACATTTGGATACAACGACATGGAAAGTCAGCTGTGACCACTTTGTGGAATCCCAGTTCCGCGGTACGGTACGTCCTTTACAGGGCTGTATGTTCTGTGGTGAGACGTTCACCTTTACAGGGGCATGTGGTGAGACGTTCACCTTTACAGGGGCATGTGGTGAGACGTTCACCTTTACAGGGGCATGTGGTGAGACGTTCACCTTTACAGGGGTATGTGGTGAGACGTTCACCTTTACAGGCGATACCGAACTCGACCAACGTGTACCTGCGGGCCGGTATTGTTCCAGCTACAGGGCCGAGCTTGTAGCTCTCGACACAGCGCTTGACATGCTTGTGGCACTACATACAGCAGGCAACCTTCCGACCTTCCGAACAGTGCACGCATCCATGTATACACTGATTCTAGATCAGCAGCCATGCGCCTCTCATACGGCCCTACCAACCAATCGGAAAAGGTGGCCTGCTCAATCTGGCAACATCTGCACACCCTCTGTCAACGCTCTGAATGTTCCATCCACTTACAGTGGATTCCAGGCCACGCCGGACTGGCTGGGAACGAGGAAGTTGACAGCATCGCCAAAGAAGCAACAGCGCTTACCCAGATTGACACGCCAATCGATTTCTCGACAGCTAAAGCCGTCATCCACCGATCGACCCGCGCAAAGTGGAAAAGAGAGGCGAAACCCAAACTGCCGTTTGCCCAGCCGCCGTCATTCCAGCTTGAGGCCTCGCTCAGACGACAGGACCGCCGGCTTCTCTCCCAAATGAGAACTGGTGGAAAATCGCCCAAGCTGAGATCATATCTCCACAAAATTGCGCCAGCAGACAACCCAGATCCGTCCTGTCGAGCCTGCAAGGAGGAGGACGAAACTATGGACCATGTGTTCCTGAGGTGTCCCGCCAGCTATCGTGCTAGAACCCGTCTGCTGGGACATTTCAGTAACCCACTTTCAGCACTTTTTAAGGACCCCCGGGCGAGTGTTGAGTGAGTTCCTGCGTGCTGTCGGCATCGCTGACCGCTTATGAAGCCACAGCGCCAGAAGAGAGAGAGAGAGAGAGAGGGGCATGTGGTGAGACATTCACCTTTACAGGGGTATGTGGTGAGACGTTCACCTTTACAGGGGCATGTGGTGAGACGTTCACCTTTACAGGGGTATGTGGTGAGACGTTCACCTTTACAGGGGTATGTGGTGAGACGTTCACCTTTACAGGGGTATGTGGTGAGAGAGACAGTCACTGAGTAGACTGTTCACCTTTACAGGGGCATGTGGTGAGATGTTCACCTTTACAGGGGCATGTGGTGAGACGTTCACCTTTACAGGGGTGAGAGAGACAGTCGCTGAGCGGACCTATGGCAGTCCCTCGCCGTGTAGCCAGGTCCCCGGGGGTGAAGGGAGGGACAGTTCACGGAGAGTCCAGTAGTCACGTGACTGTCCCAAGGACACATCACCGTACGGCCTCTGGTGGGATTCGAACCTACACCTAACGACAGAGGCTGGCCACTAGATCACCGAGCTACCAGACAGGAAGTTCCACCATATTGAATGGTGAGTGGCGGAGACGAGAACATTGCCAGGTAGTCCAACAATACAGCCACACATTGCCAGGTAGTCCAACAATACAGCCACACATTGCCAGGTAGTCCAACAGTACAGCCACACATTGCCAGGTAGTCCAACAGTACAGCCACACATTGCCAGGTAGTCCAACAATACAGCCACACATTGCCAGGTAGTCCAACAATACAGCCACACATTGCCAGGTAGTCCAACAGTACAGCCACACATTGCCAGGTAGTCCAACAGTACAGCCACACATTGCCAGGTAGTCCAACAAACAACATCACAGACTCAAAAAACAGTGTTTTTTTTTCCTTTATTAAGAAGGCGGTGAACTTCCAAGAGTTGAAAACACACACAGGCAAACACACACACACACACACACGCACACACACACGCACAAGTCGCCCCACACATGGACAAGGCCCGTAGGACAACAAACAAACAGACAGACTAACGGACACAACAAAACTTGCACTCAGTTTCTCTTGGCCTTGGCCGGGTCGTAGCGACTTTTGGAGCTGTACCACAGGAGGAAGGGGATGCCGAGGGAGGGGAGGGTCATGAAGGCGAACACTAGCCAGTCCAGCTGAGGGGAGAGAGAGAGAGAGAGTTAGGGAGGTATAGAGTACCACAGGAGGGAGGGGAGAGGGAGAGAGAGAGAGTTAGGGAGGTGTAGAGTACCACAGGAGGGAGGGGAGAGAGAGAGAGAGAGAGAGAGTTAGGGAGGTGTAGAGTACCACAGGAGGGAGGGGAGAGAGAGAGAGAGAGAGAGAGTTAGGGAGGTGTAGAGTACCACAGGAGGGAGGGGAGAGAGAGAGAGAGTTAGGGAGGTGTAGAGTACCACAGGAGGGAGAGGAGAGGAAGAGAGAGTTAGGGAGGTGTAGAGTACCACAGGAGGGAGGGGAGAGAGAGAGTTAGGGAGGTGTAGAGTACCACAGGAGGGAGGGGAGAGAGTGAGAGAGAGAGTTAGGGAGGTATAGAGTACCACAGGAGGGAGAGAGAGAGAGTTAGGGAGGTGTAGAGTACCACAGGAGGGAGGGGAGAGAGAGAGTCAGGGAGGTATAGAGTACCACAGAAGGGAGAGGAGAGGGAGAGAGAGTTAGGGAGGTGTAGAGTACCACAGGAGGGAGGGGAGAGAGAGAGTCAGGGAGGTATAGAGTACCACAGAAGGGAGAGGAGAGGGAGAGAGAGTTAGGGAGGTGTAGAGTACCACAGGAGGGAGGGGAGAGAGTGAGAGAGAGAGTTAGGGAGGTATAGAGTACCACAGGAGGGAGAGAGAGAGAGAGAGAGAGAGAGAGAGAGAGAGAGAGAGAGAGTTAGGGAGGTGTAGAGTACCACAGGAGGGAGAGAGAGAGAGTTAGGGAGGTGTAGAGTACCACAGGAGGGAGGGGAGAGGGAGATTTGTTTGTTTTTGTAAAGTGTTTTACGGCGCTCGCAACTGCATAGGTCATATGAGCGCGCGGGACACACCTAATATTTTCAGTTGGTAGGAAATTTGGAATTTTGCCCGGGTGGCGGCCGAAGCCTACTCTTATCGATTTTAGACCACCAAGGGATCTTTAACGTGCGCAACTTGCACACGGGCCCTCCGAGATTTTTCGCCCTTGTCCGAGAAGGCTAGGTGTAGATCTTTCCTACCAGAAGATCAGGGGTGTGGCAGAAAGACAGCAGTAAGGAGGAGCCAAGGAGTAGCAGTAGAAAGGCTGCAGAAAGAATCAGGAGCCCAGAGGAGGGGGCAAAGGAGGTGAGGGGGTGGGGGCAGAAAGTGGAATTGAAAGCAGACAACAGAACATTTCTAGAGAGCTGGAAAGGAGGTGAAAGGAGACAATTTTAGAGAAGAAAAT